GCCCCACAGGCATGTAAGCAAAGCATGGCTTAGAATAAGAGGTCGCTACAAGTCCTTTGATCACCACAATTCAGATCTTTTTTTTCTCTACGTTCTGAACACACCTTCCGCTTGAGTTCTTATTTTAATTGTGGGAGTAAGAACTTGCAGTGAACTAGATCGAGTGAGTAGGAGGAGGGAAACACCATTTTTATGTCCTTTTGATCAAAAAATGATTGATTTTAAAGGCTGTGTGGGCAGGCGCGTCGTCACGACGAAGCAGCCAGTCTCCTTGTCGATACAATGTGCGTCACTGAAGCACTGTTTTCTCGGCATAAGTTTGAGCGGGGCAAAGGCCACGAAATACGCGAAATTTAGTGAAGTCGTAGAATCTAGCGGTCAGTGTGCATTTCCTCATCTTGGCCTTGTTCGCAATTCAGATCGTTTTACTTCACCGCTAACGCAAGTAATTGATCACTTGCAAATAGTAATTTTGTTTAACTTTAGTGTCATAAAGAACGGATTCAACGTGATCGACTCCTTTGATATCGAAAAATGAAACCATCATGGACGCGTTACGCATTAAAATTTTTCATCGCAAAATCGTCGAGAGCGTGTGAACACATTGATTAAAAAAAACTGTTCGCGGCAATGGTTCCTCGTGAACACCATTTGGCCAGCCGAGAGGAAAGTGTTTAGAAAATTTACCTTTTGGAAGACGGAAATACTGCCAACTCGCTTGCCTAAAGAAGACAAATCTCCTTTTTCGGGCACCCTCTCGTACATTCGACAAGGCATTTGCATACACTACATTGTTAGGTTGCGCACTAGGTTTTCTTATTGGCAATGAGCAAGTAAATGCAACTTATTCTGCTCGCTGAAGTGTTCATTCTCGCGCTTTCTGCTATAACTTTGATTCAAACATTATCTGTACATCAAATCTTAAAGCGAAAATGAAACAATACAACCGTTACCCACGCACAAAGCACTGATTACTATTTTTGGCTCCATGGACATCTTTTTGATGTGCCCCACTTGCAATTTTTGTGGCTTCGTATATCCAGAACCTAAACGTTTTCTGGAATGCAATAGAATTGGCAGTCAATCGTAGAGGTGGCCTCTGGGAAGAGTTAAACTCCCCCCCCTTCTCCTCTAATTCCAGTGGAAAACATTTACAAAAGTCAACTACTATACTACCACGTCTTCCATTACTGACTTGACAGTCTTAGGGAATGCAGGAAAATCGATATTTCAAACTGACGTCCGTTAACGCCCGGACAGAAACCGAACCATGCAAGGACCGTCGTTGGCGAAGAAGGACACTATTCTCAAGACTCGTGAAAACAAGATCTGCTTTAAACTGCCCTCAGTCTTTCCGAAGAGTGCACAAGCACACCTGCGCAGTTTTCACATCATGAGACCGTCATCTTTGGTAAACCGGGTCTGGAGAACACTCGACACAAGTGACCTGCATCAAAAGTTTAACGGTCTCAGACTACCTGCTAGCCTCCGACTCACTCTTATGAACTTGGTTACGAAGGCTAGCCGGGACAGTCGTATCCACTTCGACACTGCTGAGCTGAGCATTCTCTTCCATATATTTTTTGTACTTGTCAAGTTGCAGGACCGTGAAATGCGGATAAGTGAGTTGGACGACTTCCTTTGGACCCAAATTGGCATAACTCACATGTCCACCCGACAGAACCTCGCCAGGGCTGCTCCGATGCTTCGCCTTGGATACGCGGTTCAAAGAAGCAAGGGTGTGACCGCCCTCCAGTTTGTTCACTTTCTCTCAACCCTTCTCCGTGGTACTATCCTGGAGCGTGCTAGGTTGGCCTTCTATGCGATGGACGTCGATGGTGACGGAATATTGCGCCAGATGGTTGAATTCACCAGCCTCCTCAGCGGGAGTTTCGATGTCCACATCGCCGCCGTCAACCCCGAGCTTGATCCACAGGAACCGGTACGTGATACCGTGCAGTTTCTGGTCAGGACGGCGCAAATCAATCGGGAGGGCGGACTAGACATGGATGACTTTTTGGCAGTGGCGATCCGGGAGCCCTGGGTGATAAGCTCCCTCTTCCAGTGTGTTCCTGAGGAACACGCGAATGTTGCTTTCCAAAGTCTCTTCACCACTGCCGTTGAAGTGCCCGTGATGGAGATCCAACGTAATACCATACGCCGAAGTCGATCTGCCTCTGTCTGGGGCGCTACAAGAAAGTACCTACAGTAAAAATACGGTTCTCCCTCCCTCCCCACGAAGAAGTGGGCCGATTTTGCATCAATCGTGTTTTTAATGAGATTTTGTAATCGATGCAAGCCGAGCAGCGCCAACTGGACCTACTTGTTAGTATAATAACAAACTTGATCCAGTGCTGTGCTCTTTTCTTGATTTATTAACTAATTTCTATCCATAGGAGCCTTTGGGGGTATAATAGTTTCTGGATCATGGCAACATTATAACTTATGGTTTACGGGTACGGTTGTCAACCATTTTCCCGTCTGACATAGCATCCTGAGTTGGAAGCTTTCCCCAATGCAGTATTTACAGCGGATGACAGTCAGACCTGCCTCACGGACGTGGAATCTCGTTGGATGACTTACATATCAGCCCGGGTGAGGCCTAGGACGTGCGTAAGCTTGTTATTTCTAATTCTTTTGCTATAGCCTAGTTCTCCTAACCGTAGCAGGAAATTTGATCTATTAGCTACATATAATTCTAATCTAGATTACCTTAAAATCTAGCTGGCTGCACCTTCATTACTCAGTTTAGACACAAATGTACCTCTTAGCTTACACAGTCTTGTCTCTTAGTTAGGTTTGCTTAGCAAATGCCACTTTGTTATGACCAAACTGCATGGTAGATCTTCTGCTATTATCAAATACGCGTTTCCTTAAACCTTCAGCTTGCTAAAATTCTCCTTTAGGCTACGACTGCCAACTAGGCTAAAACTTTCTACATACACGTACAGACCGCGCTGCATCTTGCCAGCTACTGGTTTCAGCAAGTATGATTACTAGAACTAGCACTTTTAGCATAGGCACAGCATTTTAAACAGAAGTATTCTGCAAAATGGCACATTTCATTTTGTTCCGACCTAAAGACATGACAGATCTTCAGTTCTTATTACATATACCTTTGTTTAACCTTGAGCTTACGAATATTCCCTTATAGGTTAAGGCTGCACATTACAATCACCCAGATACACCGCTAGAAGCAGCAGTATAAACGGTAGTTGTAGTAGTAGAAAAACGAGACTTGGGCGCCTCGAATATTTATGGGCACCTACTGTGTGTGAGGGCAAATAGTGAAATAGTACCACCGCAAGAGGCTACTGCGTCACCATGTGACATGACAGAGCCTGCGATATTAATTAATAACGCCTCGTTAACATTAAGATGACACGGCCCGATGGATAGAGTTGAGAGGGCGGAAACCAAGGAAAGCCCTGATGTACTAGTATCACAAATATAATTAATACTACCAGCATAACTAATATTGCCATATTCCTGTTGCATTGACCTATACTGTCCTACTATACCTGCCTGATACTGTATTTTCGTACTATAGTAGGCCTAAATGTAATCTATAGAGAGCAACTTGCTCGACATAAGTGCATGGTAGGACTTTTGCTATAACTATCCAAATGCCAGTCACTATTACCTCACACAGATTGGGAGTGCATACTGGGTGCGATTTCTTAAAAAGCGCACGCAGGCAGTATGTATAGTATACTATCTACTGGCCTTAGTAAGCATGATTACTAGAAATTAGCACGTTTAGCATAGGCACGTAGCTCTAGCAGCAGTATTTTAGTCCGTACCTAGCAGAAACGTACACAGCTCGATGGATAGAATTGAGAGTGCGGAAATCAAGGCAAGCCCTGCTGTGCTCAGGGCCCTAAGCATGTACTTACTCGAAATAGTTTAAACCCAGATTCACACGCCTTGTTGAGACCAAGGGGGTGTGAGCCCTAGCGTTGGCTTCATCAGCGTCACCTCTGACAAATGGTGGCGCTAGTGCTAGCACCAGTACTACTACACTTTTTGTTGAGATTGAGGGGATAGGAGCACACTGCTGACTTTAATCAGAGTCACTTCTGACTTAAAATACAGTCAGTAATAGTG